TTGCAAAGGCCTGGAAGAACAGGTTTCCTTTTTTTCAGAGGAACTTCCTCCTTTACAAACCACATTTCAACAGAAACCCTTCTGACACTAATTAAAGACCTCATTAATCCATTTGTGGTCTGTGGTTCTGTGGAGGGCATTCAAACCTCATTTTTGTAGTGCGATGAGACCATTTTGGAGAAAGTGTGACCTCCTGATTTTTAGATGGGCTCTCCAGGAAGACAGCACAGGATGGGATCACCGGAAATCTGTAGTCCCACCTGCAGCACATGACTGGGTCAGCCATGGGGTCAGGCCAGGTTGCTCAGGAGTCTATTCAGCCCTGTCTTGAAAAGGCTCTATGCATGGAGCCTGTAAAACTGGATATACCTCCTCTAAGGTACAAATGCATCATATGACAGCATTAATACTCACATAAACCCTGTTCACCCAGAGCTAGAGCAGAGGGAGTAAGAGAAGGGGAGCTAATCTCAACCTTTCCATTCACACCTGTTAATGGAATTCCTCAGCAGTCACTCAAATACAGAATGAATTCACTTTTTTTTTCAGAAATAAATATTTCAGGACATCCTAAGGCATTTTGTAGCCCTGCAGCACCTGACAGAGTAGCATCTGCTATTTGAAGAACATTTTAGAATTGGAGTAAGTTACTATACCAATCTTCAAAAAAAAAAAAATGCTGCTACTGTTTACTTTGGCTGTCTTCTGAGAACAGGAGCCCTTCTGAGAACAGGAGCCTGAGAATAGGATCAAATGGCTTCACAGTCAACTCATTGAAGAGTTTAAGTCAAGTTTTTGAAGACTGATTAAAAACAAAACTTTGTGATACCTGAAGAACCACAGACATTTTGAATTGCCTAATATTTTTGAATGAGCACACAGCTTGATTAGAAAGACTTTGATAATTATCCCAGCATACCAGTTACTGAGCAAATTAATTTTATACCAAGTTGCTAGCAGGTCTTTTTAAGAACAAAGAAAATGCCCCACAGCAATGCTTGGTAGAGGAAAATTTTAGCCTCCAATCTGAGGAAAGGGGAATATTTTAGGTGGTGTATTTCTAGCTAATTAGCTGAAAATGAAAAAAGCTCAAGGAAATAAAATGAAACTACTTGCTGAATGGCTTGTACCCTGGAGCAAAAGACACCTTCATAATGATAAAACGTTTTTAATCACCAAAGGCTTGTTTAATGGGCTCTATATTTATATACAACACACTGAAACTATGCCAATGTGGCCTGTCCTAAAAGTCAGTGCAGAGAACGATAACAGCACTTGGAATGAATATGGCTAATCTAAAAATGTCTCTGAAGGTCTAATCCTTCCCCTTTGGAAAAAGATCAGGCCAAACGGGCCCTGCTGCCTGAGCCAGGATTTTTGTATTAAATTTTTCTTTAAATATAAGGTCTCAAATTCTGACTCCTTGAAATGTGTGTATCTGTACAGATGGCTGCGCTAGTTTTGCAGAAAACTTTGAAAAATGAAAAATGGAAATCTAGGCTGGGTGGAAAGTTCAGCAAGTGAGGGGGGTTTCTTAACAGATTACAGCAATGATATATATGGTTTCTGCTCCATGGTTTGAACTCCCACAAATTTAGGGGCCGTACACAGTGCACAGTCCATGGAGAAGCAGCTCTGAGTGTGGGTTTCTGTGACCTACCTCCCTACCCTCCACACCATACTTTCCTCAATAGCCATTCCTGAAAATCTACACAGGAAGTGTGTAAAGAGCCTAAATTGGTCTTATTGCAGAGTAAAGGTGGTTTTATTTCAGCAAATTGACCTCTAATTTTTGTCAGGTTGCAGTTTTGATTCACAGCCTGTTACCTTTCTTATCTAAGTGCACTGACCGCTCCTGTTCCTGTGAGAAGGCATCACCACCTGGCTGGTGCCTCACTGCTTTCAGAGAATGATGCTGCTTCTTTAACTCTTGAGCTACTCATCTACCAGAATTCATGGGAAACATGCAGAAACCTGCCAAGAACAGAATTTCTGATGTAGGCGCTGGCTCCACACCAGCCCTGCTGCCACAGACAGACTGCCGCCACCCTTCTGTAATTTGCGTCTTTTTTACTACATGTCAGGCTTCAGAAGGTGCTGATTACAATTACGTAGTTGATGAGCTTCCTAATCCAGTGTCTAATTTCACCTGCATGTTGAATTTTTAATCTTTAATCTGGTAAAGATTCTTATATCAATAGCTGGTCTATACCCTCTGCACCAGGACAATTTGTGTGGAACAAGTATTATCAAAACTAAGTGCACTAGTCTGGAGTTCTTTGTGGTTTGGAGTTTTTCTTGTTTGGTTGTTTTTTTGCTAAGTTGTAAAACAAGACTTGGCTTTATCCCAAAGCAATTCATTTATTCCATTAACTGAAGAAAAATAAAAATAAATACATCTGATCTATTCAGTGTTATACATAAGTTTATTTAGTTGATGGATACAGCCTGAGTAGATCAATCTGAAGAAATATGTTTGCTGCATGTACTTACTGAGTGAAATTAAATCTACAACACCCAGAAGGTTAATCTGTGTATCCTTACTAGAAGCTTCAGTGACCTTCATTACAATCTTCTGAGTGTATTACATCGGGAAATACTTCTGAGTGTATTACTTCATGCAAATTCAGCTGGTATTTTGTTTTCTCTAAAATCTCACTGGTCATCAGGGACTAATAGATCCATAATTTAAATATGAGGTTGCATTTTTTTTTTTTTTTTTTGTTAAGGCATATGGTTAACATGGGGTCACTTCCCCTTTTAGACAACCTGGCAGGGATGTATGCTCAACTCTCCTGAAATAGCAAAAAATCTGCCATATTCTGCTCCACACTCTCCTTCCTGCCCTTTTATTTCTACTAGGCAGCCAGACAAGCTACAGGTGTGAGGGATAGTCATTACTCGCTAGAACTTTAAAATGGATCCATGGCTGGGTTTAAGGGAAAAATCTTCTCTCCCTAGGTTTTCTCTGAGCTGCTAGCTCCTATAATGAACTGTGGCTAGGGAGACCCTTAAGTGAGATAAATCAGAGAAAATGTATAGCACCACGGTGAGGTTATATGTATTCACACAACCCAAACTAAGCAGGGGCAGGACAGTGTAGCACCTGGATTGAAAATCCAAGAGAGCTCTTCTGCACACAGGTCTTGGCTGCTATGGCTGTTATAGATCCTGGAGCACTTTTCAACGAACATCTAAGCTTTGCCGCGGCGCCGGGACCTGCGGCGGCCGAGCCGGAGGCGGCGGCGCGGCCGTCCCGGTACGTTCAGCGTGGACCGGCCCTGGGGGATGAGGGTCGGCCGTGGGGGATGAGAATCAGCCCCGGCCCCCCGGGTGTCGGGGCTAGGGGCTGCCGCTCCGGGAGCGGCCCCAGAAGTTGAGGGGATGGCAGAGCCCCCGCTGCGGCACCGCGCCGGGCTGCGCTCCGCGCAGCGAGCAACTTTTCTGCTGACTCCCTACACACACACACACACACACACACACACACACACACACACACACACCCCTCCTCCGTCACACGCTGGGAAGCGGCTGTTATAGATCCTGGAGCACTTTTCAACGAACATCTAAGCTTTGGACAGGGTAATTACACTCTCTGCCTAGTTAACCCCCCCTTGGAAATCTGAGCAGCACCCAGCTCTACCCTCTGCTCTGAAACACTGGATTTCAGCTGGTGGGCGTTGCTCAGCTCCCTGCCGGAGGCAGTGCTGCGCTGGTTGGGGAAAAGATCCCTGCGGGCTGCCTCAGCAGCGTGTGAGATGGTTTGAAACCTGTCGGAGTAAAAGATGTTGCAAAAACATGAATGGTTACATTACTGTTACTCCAGGAGGGGCCTCAGTGCCGTGAGCGAGCAATGGGGCAGTGAAGCAGGGAGCATTTTAGAAGTATCTGTGTGCTGGGGTGGTTCTAGGAACACAGCCCTGCAGAAATGCCTAAAGGAGACACACACAGAAGTCGTTTGAGCGCGGCTTTGGAAAGTCAGAACTCCTCCGTGCTTACCCTACCTTAGCAAGGGCTAAGAGCTCATTTCTTCAAGGACTTCCCTGAAGAAAAGTAAACAAAGCGATATTCCCGTTAAAGAGAGATAACGCCATTTATCTACATGGTTGGTCTATTGTCACAATAAGCAGATAAGGTTTGCACGGCACGCGTGAAGCTCCAATAAGCACTAATTAAACATTTTTCTCTGTCATCCTGTTTCCCATAGATGGCAATAAAGTTTCTACACTACCTGTTTTAGTAGCTAATTAAAGGTATGAGTTGCCTCTACATGGCAGCTTAGACATATTTATTCGCTAGCACAGGGAGAGCTACCCCTGGATATGTAACAGCAAACAAAACCTTTTAGCAAAGCTCTTCCTCTCCGGGCGGCGGGGAGGGAGCGCGATGCCACGGGCGGAGAGGGCTCACACGGGGGTGGCCGGGGGGACTCACCTGCCCCGCGGGGACCCGCCCGCTGCTGCCGGGGGCGTCCCTGCCCGCCGGGGCCCCTCCCCAGCCCGCCCGGCCCCAAAGTTTGGCGAGGAAACTTTGTGTGTTGGCGCCGCTGCGGAAGCGCCTCCCGGGAGCGGCGGGAGCGGCGGGCAGGTGAGAGGCTGCCGCTGGGCACCCACCTGGGACAAGCGGGAGGGCGGACGAGCCTGCGGCCGGATCTCCTCGGCGGCCCCGGCAGCCGCCGCTCCCCCACACACACACACACCCCTCCTCCGTCACACGCTGGGAATCGGGAATTCGTGGCACGTCTCCAAAATAAAAAAATGGACTGGTATTTTGCCTGTGCGTTTTCTAGCAGAAGAGTGAATGACTAGGGTAGGCTGCGAGTCTTGTTGGCATGCTGATAGCCCCTCGGTTCACTGCAGTCCGTAAACAAGACCGTGTCATTTCAACAGTTCAAAAAACGAAAGATCTGGCTTTGACACAGTGCTTTTGCTGATGTTCCTTATCCTGACAGTGGGAAGAAATCCCACCTATAATCCTGTTAGAAGACTGAGAGCCATCAGGTTGCTGTCTTGTGAGCAGTGTTTTTGTTTAACTTCCCAAAATCCAGGTGACTTCCATGGGACTGCTCGCTGCCTCCCAGGAGTGCTTCAGACAGGTAAGAGCTAAGCATGCCAGACTTGCCTTTTTCTGCTGAGGTCCCTCAGTCCTGACTGGGAAATGTTACTGAGAATAACAATGATTTTTCCTTTTTTAAAGCAAGATGTCCAGCAGTAGTAGAATGAAACCCTTGAAACTGAATATCCTAGTGAATTGGTGAAGTTCCAGACCTGATGCTTTCAGTGTCTTCTCTGTTCTCTGTAAGTAACCAAAACTTTCCATGATGCTGATGTGTCAACCTGCATACACGTGGGTAGGACAACTTGGCATTTATCTGTTCTTAACACAAGCATAACTTTTGTTTGTCTAAAACTGCAGCTTTAAATTAATCTGCAGGTGTCTGAGGCAAGTTGCTATGTGCATTAAACCAACATGGTTTGAAGTTTAGCAGGATTTATGGCTGAGGAGCAGGACCAGCTAAATGGTGTGCGTGTTCTCAGAAGCAGAATCTGACTTATGCCCATTGTTTCATTAAATGGATTTTTTTCCTTTGGAAATATATCAAAAGGATAATGAGGAACTACTGATGTTAATAGATTAAAATGTCGAAATCAAGTGCAAACCATCTTTTCTTTGCCATGTTATTAATTTTGTATAGTGTGTTGTATGCTAGAAAGTGCATTTCAAACAAAATGTAATTGCTATAACAACATTGTGGTCTGCTATATAACAAGGGATAGTGAAGTTGAAAAGTGTTAAATGTGTACAAGCTGACTGTGTGGGAAGTTACTTTGGTGATGTTAATGTTTGGAATTTCCTGACTGCTATTAAAATTTCAAAATTTTAAGCTCTATTTTTTAAAGGGGCTTTATTGTTTCATAATTGGCAGTGGGTGAGTGAAGAATACTCACTTTGATAAAAACAGGTCTCTCCTTTGAAGAGAAATCCCTGTATATTTCATTTAAAAAATTTCATTATTTGTGTCTTATGGAACTCTTACAGAATTCTCTTAACTTGATTTGCAGTGTTGGTAGGTAGTAATCTTCTGTTATTGCCAGTAATAAAAGTTGTGCAGGCCAGATGGTGTCTTCAATTATACTTTTACACAGCCTTCTTATAAGCAACTCTTCAGGTGAAGAAGTTGCTGAGGTGTCAGCAGGACTGATGTAACAGTGGGCCTGTGTGCTCTCTATATACCCCTATTAAATTCCTATGGACAGGAAAAACTCCCTTATGGGAATTTTGGTTTGGTTTGGGTTTTGTTGTTTGCTTTTGTTTTTGTTTATCTGAGGGGTGTTTGGTGAGGCGTTGATTGGTTCAGTTTTTTTTTAATTTCTACAAAGTTTCTCAGCACCACTGTTTGACTGTCTTGGTCTGCTTACTCACTTAATTCAAATTTCTGTAAGGTCTTTGACTTCACCCAGCCATAACACTCAGTGTAACTTGCTGGAGATAAGAAATGGCAAATACTGTATGTTTCTTTCTAGCAACCACTGTAATAAACCAGAACAAAAAGTAGTACTGGCTGATATGAGGAACTGTGCAAGCATTGTTAAGAGCTGGAGCTCTGCCTTGTGCTAGTCGTTGTAAAGCCAGAAAGTTGAGATGTGGGCAGTGGAAAGGTGATCCTGGAGGATCATCTGCATGTGAAGTAGGACATGAGCTAACAGATGAGAAGTGAGGGAGGAGGGGGAGCGTTGAAGTGAGAAGATATCCTTGCTTCCTTCTACTGACTGAGCTGAAAGTAGTCTGGGCCAGTGTCCAGCAGAACATTCCTCACTGCAAAATGTTCTTGCCATGATAACTCCAGTGGAGGTATCCGAAAATGTAGTGCTTCTTGAGGTAAGGAAGGAGGAAAGAAAATTTAAAACACTAAAAAACACCTCAAAACTATGCAGTTGCAGTAGCTTGCTGTATTCTTTTTCTCATTTTGTTTTCATTAATCCAGTTGTGTCTAAGGAGATACTGGGTGGGTGGGAATTTGTAGTATCCCACAGTAATGTGAGTGTTTTGACCATTATAAAGATTGTATGGGTTTTTTCATCTGTATTTTGCTGGTTAATCCTGCATCTTGATATTCTTTATTTCCAGGTGAAGGAAAAAAAATCTGACATTAAAAGGGAAGGTTTCTAAATAGGAGGCAACCTAATGTTTTGCATTTGTATGTCCTTGATTTTGGAGCTAGGTGATGGTGAGGGTTAAAACACAATGGGGAAAATGCAAGGATTTTGTATCAGTAGAATGAGGATTCTTGAAACTCTTAACATTTGACAAATGTTAAACAATTTGGACTCAGAAGTGAATGACTATAGACCTGTAAAATTTCTAAATTTTTGTTGTGTTTGTCATCAAGGCACATAGTGCTATTGTCTGCCAGATTTACTGCTTCTCCATGATGGATAAGGCTATGTAGTAGTCTCTCTCCAGTACTCAAAAGGACTCGAAATTTTGGGGTGCATAGCTTGAGTTCAAACAAGTGGGACATTGGGGTCTATATATCCCAAAGAGATGGGGGTGATGTTGGGCAAAAGCAAGAATCTAGTTCAGCATAGGCGGAAGGCACAGAGCAGTTTCTCAGGCCACATTAGCTCCCTCATAGCAAGAACCATCCACCAAGGATGGTCAAGATATCCCCCAGGGGAGCCATGTCGCCCAGAACTAGAAGCAAAAAAAAGGATTCACAGCTTAAGCAGGGATGCTGAACCTCTGTCTGGATATGGCTGATCTCTTTTGAAAATACTTGGGTTGAAAGTAACTGCTTCTTGGCTTTTCACAGCCATGAGAAAGCATTTATCTTGATTAAAGAATATTTGCAGGTATTTCCTCTTGCCCAGGATGCCTGAGTGTGTAATCCACGACCATTGCTTTTTAATACAAAAGGAGCAAATTTGTCAGTGTTGTGCAACCATTTTTCAGGTTCTACTGGAAGACTCACAGACACAGACTTTTTTAAATGTCACTGCAATTTTTTCATATGGGGGTTACAAATCACTGTGTTAAATAAATTAAACTACTCATTCAAGCTGAAAAGCCTTTAAAATCCTACAAGGTAGCAGAATAGTTGGGTTTGATGTATTTAGATTCTAACCTGAGGTAAATCAGTAGTGTTAATTTAAAGTAATTTTACTCTTGTTTTAAAACTAATCTTAAAACTTAGTCAACATGTAAATGAAGAACACAGTTTCATATAAATTAAATTTAAATAAATTAAACTAATTGCAAGCAGCATGTAAACTCTTGATACAAAGATAATTACAGTGACTGTGATGGTGGAGTGAATCTGCCTTAGGGTGTGTTTGGTAGTTCAAAACAAAAAAAAAGAAAAACACCTTGATCTGCCTTTTCCTTTTATGAACTTCTTTCCACTCAAAACCAAAACTAATCTAGTAGAAAAACATCTGTTTTCTTATTAACAGATTAAATTGCCTAAAAGTGTTCCTTATTTTACTGTGCATTTTCATCGTCACCTTTCAGGGTTTGTAGGTGGTGCTGCATGCAATCATGATGGTGTTTGGGCAAGGTCAGCTCTATATTCTATGCTGTCATGGCTCATGGATGTATGTGATACCAGCTACTACTAAAGGAAAAACCATTGGCACCGTTCCTTGGGTAAATTATTTGTGGGCTGTAATTTGGTTAAACTTGGTCAGAAAGCACTCATGTTGGTGGCAAGAGCTGGGCAAACAGGGAGAATGAGAGCAAGCAGCTGGAGAGAGCAGCGGCACCAGCCTACAAGTGTCAGAAATGCTCATAGAGATGTGGTGTGAGATACTTTCCTTTCAGCATCCTCCATGTGGCCTGAGAAAGCTTTCCTTGCCCACTCAGAAATGCTGCTTTTCAGAAAGAAGGGCTGAATATATGGGAGCTTTGTGTAGTCAGAGATGGAAGAAAGTGACAACATCACAGAAGTGGGCTTTTTTGGAAGCACATACTGTCATTGTGTGTGTCTGGATTCCTCACCCTTTTATTATGAGAGAAACTTGCACATTCCAAACAGCAAGAAACTGATTCCTGCTTTCTAGTACCTCTAATTTAAGATATTTATTTCAAAGATATATTCAGAACCTCATATCTTTTTATTTGCTGCTTTTTTTTCCTCCTAATCCAGATGCTGTCAATGTCCTGTTACATGAACAACAGAGCTTTTGTTTGTGGGAAACAGAAGAGGTTTGTATTCGTCGATTCTATGACTGGTGGTTCTTGAAGGATTGCTTGTGCTGGGAAGCTTCTGTCTCATCAGCAGAGTGACTTCTGAGGACATGCAAACAGTGCATTTGCTGCAACACTGAAGTTAGGTGCAAAGCCCTACATTGCCTTGTAGCATAAAGAGCACTGCGACTCTGAGAGTGCTGAGAGCACTGTAAGAAAAAAAGGTGCAAGAGGTAATAGCTGATGAAGAGCTGGGTGAAAGGAGGCTCCACTACCCACACCTATACAAAAAGCATTTCACAGCATTCCCCAAGCTTTTTCTTTGTTTTTGTCCAATCTTCAGTGCTTCCTTCCAACCCTGTGCATCATCACCATAGCTGCAAAGACACAACATATAGGAAATTCCCTCTCTGTAGAATCAAAGCAGAAAGAGCAAGGTTAAGAAAAAAGCCTCTGTCACCTTCCTTTCATGTGCCTGGATCGAACCAGTTGCTTCATGACCCTTACAAAAAAGACTTCAGAGAGAACATTTACATTCTATTAATGTCTAGCTATCTGTCTTCTACAGAACAATTACACATAAAATGATTAATATTTAAACCTTGGCTTACATTTTCTGCAAGCAAGTTTGCGCTTAAGTGTATAGTTTAATGGCACAGAATTGGAAAAACATATGAAAAGTCCTGAACAGTTTTGTTGTTCTTGAAATCTTTTGCGTCTTTCTAACAGTTACTTTGTTCATTCAACAGCTGTTTTTAATGGGAGTTCCTGCTAAGCTTTATGTGTACTGTATTTTTAGAAACTCAGCAATTATAGATGTAACAGTGCTGAGTTATTAAAAAATACAAACTTGTGGAACATGGAGTACTTGTATGATTCAGAATAACTGTTAAGTGGCTACATTTTCTTTTCTCTGTTAAAAATCTTAAATCTTAAATCTGTTTAACAGATTTATCTTTCAAATATCTTCTAGTAGGCTGTATTCCTTTAAAAGCTTGAGTTTTTCCTAGCATTCTATGTGTTAGTTCATCAGACACTTCTGTCATATGTACTGACAACAGTGTCCATTATGTTGAATTTTAAGGCATTTTCTTTTGCTGTGCAGGCCAGTTTCAACAACAGCTCTTCAGCTTCTAATAATGCACTTTCAAAGTGAGCACATTCTTATTCAGGTTATGGAGTTGTCCTCTAGTGATCCACAGTGTCTTCATGTTCTGATTTTATAAAATGAATTTTATGACCCCTTTGTGGCACATGCAGGATATCAGGTAAATTACTTCCTCTGGGCCCACTGCTGTTCAATAAAGTAATCTTTTTGATAAGTTTTTACAGTTGAGCTCATTTCCATTAAACTTTGTGGCAAGAATTGAGTTCCTGACAAGTCCCTCTCCATATTGCAAAACATAGCTGAATAAAAAGATGAGCCATTAATTAATTTTTTGCTCTTTTACTGATACCACCTTATGCTTTCCTAATCCTGCAAAACTCAACTTGGATTCATATTTGAGGATGAACATCATTGTGTGACTCCTCAATGCCGGGGCTTTGCGAGCCAAGTGGTTGTGTTGTGGGATGACCCGTCCTTAAGGACACATGATTATACAGTCCAGAAGCAGAGAGGCTGGGTTGCCCATCAGAGGGGGCTGGCAGCCTCTTGGAGTGTGACCCAGCCATCCTGGGAGGCTCCAGCTGCTTGCTGTAGCTTCCCAGCTGTGATGGTTGTTGGGCAGAGTGGGGAATTGGTGTGACACCCAATGAGCTCATTTGGGTCATTACCTCCCGCTGTTATGACAGCAGGTGATGTTTGCTCTTCTGGAAGTGGAATGGTCTTTTCAGCCACTTTGAGAAATACATCTGCTTGGAGCTCATCTGGGGGTAGAAAGAATGTTGAGACTGTGAGCAGAAATACAAGCATTGAAAGCAATAGCTTGTAAGAGTTCCAGCTTGTATATAGTATGCTGTTAACACAGTCTCTGGTGAAGAATAAAAGTGTAACATGAGACCAACCTCCCTCTCTTGTTATTGCAGGTTGGTGTCTCTGGGGGAGACACCAAAGATGATTCAGGCATGCTGAAGACTTCAGAAAAGTGAGCAATGAGTCCTTCTGAAAGCTGAAGAGAAGCCCCCTTGCAGGGTCATGAACCTAAGACAAGTCTTCGTGTCTGTACTGCTGTTTGGAGTAGCTGGTCTACTCCTCTTCATGTATCTGCAAGCTTGGATTGAAGAACAGCATACAGGTACACTAGGCTTTCTCTCTTGGATTTTTTATCATAGTTGCATCTATTATTTTAAGATGACCATAAAACCTATTGAGGACATTTGGGGTAGAGTCCTCATTCCTCCACCTCCCCTTTGGAAGTAAAATGGCATTGAAAATAGACTTGTTTTAATTGCTGCACTTCATTAAGAAATTTCTTCAGACACATGAAAAGATGCCCCCAGCTACCTAATCATATTGTATCAGCTTCATTTGCAAAAGCAAGTGCTGCAAAAGCATTCTGCATGTCCAATTTAGAAATTATTCTCGATAATTTGTTGTGGGTTTTGTACATTACATTTTGTGTGGTAAACTAAATTTGGAGAAAAACTGCTGTGTTTTGTAGGCAAAAGTGGTCTTCTAACCAGCAATGCTCATGGAATCATTCTTTCCCTTTCTTTTTTGTTGTTGTTTGAGTCTGGGCTTGCAAGTCTTTTTATATATAACATCAGAGTCATCTAGCAACTTCAGGTAAATCTGTGTTAGCATTGGCTCAGGATTACGCTTCTGAATTGTATTTCTGTTGTTTCCCATTTATGATGTTTTTGGTTGAACCCCAGCTTGATCTAAATTCTCTTATGGACAAAACTAAATCAGGTTATTTACCTCAACCCCTACTGGAAGCTCAGTCACCTTCCACAAAATGCATAAGGCGTGCATGTCAGTAAGGTCCTCCACGGTTTTGCTCTGCAGGTCCACTTCTGTTATGTCACCATATTGAGGGCATACCCTTGATTTTACCTGTATACTTGTATTGGAGGGTTAGGGTTTTGTTTTCAAAGTTTGGGTTTGGTTGGGGGTTTTTTTGGGTTTTTTGGATTGTTTGGTATATATGCTTGGGGTTTTTTTGTCAGTCTATTTTTCTTTGTTTCCAGCTTGTTGAGTCTTGACTTTTAGATCCTCTCATCTCTCTCACTCAACTTCCATTTCCTCTGTAAAACTCCTACTTTATAGTATGTTGATACCATTGTGAAGAAATATATCTGTAAAACCACATTAGTCTCTGGCTTTATTGATTTGTACTGTTGGTTCATGAGCTGCTAGGCTCCAGTATTTTTCAGAGAGCAGTGTTGGGGGGGAAATATAGTGCATCATTTCTGTAGTTGTTTGACAATGACCTTGAGGTTTTTTTCAACTAAGTGCAATGATCACAGCATTAATTCTGGCTTGTTAATTTTTCTGGGCTGTCCCAAACTATTCACAAGCTTGTATTAATAAAACTGTTGCAAGAGGTAATACAGGCTCCCTTTGGAAAGGTTCCCTTGTAATCAGTTGTTGACAGAAGGGTTCTGGCAGAAACTGAGCATGAAGCAGAGGGGGGGTCTTCCTTGAAAATCTTTACTGTTGTCAGGAATGTTAAGGGTAGATATCCGTGCTTTCAAGGTAGTTCAGGAATGTAGATGATGACTGTAGATTATTGATTTATTTACTTGCTGACATTCTTCACATTCCTTGCATCTTTTCTTGTGCTGTAATTAACCTTTCTTTCCTTGCAGTGTTCCTTGTTGCTGTTTCTCACTGCAGTTTTTTTTACTCCTTTCTTTTGTATGTATCTCTCTACCATTAAAAAGAAACAGGAAAAATAAAATAAAAGTTTAACTAGGACAGACTCTGTTCTTTTGGCCAACCAGTTGCTTTCTTTGGGGTTTTCTTTGATATATTGCTATAATCTTCTTCAAGAGAGAGTCTTCTCCTCGCACACATAAGTCATTTCCATGTGGAAACATTTCTGTAATAAAATGGATGCTATCAGAGAATAACAGAATGGTTGGTGAGCTTAAAGTGTGACTGCAGTTTTGAGTACCCTTTTATCTCACTGGACTGCTGTTGTGACAGCACTTCATCAAGATCCAAAAAAAAAGAATTTTGGCATTCTCTACAGTAGCAGTAGAGAATGTATATGGTCATGGATATTGGCAAGAGCATGGAAAAAACTCATTCTTTGGTGTCTGCTCTTGTTTCTTCTTCCAATTTAACATTTAGAGAGCCATTCTTTTTTATTTCAAACACCTGTATCTCCTCTAAACCTTCTGCAGCACAATTCTCTAATGCTTCCCTCCTGTATGCTGCTTTAGAGTTGATATGAAATAGAACATATTTGCATATTCACAATATGCATTAGTTTAGTTATGGGCATTTTGCAAATTTTTTTTCTGTCTTCTGCTCTGTTTTTCATATTGCCATGTGTTGTGCACTGTGGCTTTTTTGGCCATGAGCTGTATCTGGAGAATCCTAAACTGACAAGTGTCTTTGCAAGGATTTTATGTGTTCCTTTAATCCTCTCACTAGCTGCACAGCTGTAAGAAAGCTAGTTTTAATCTGCAAGTGGCTGAGCATGTGAGGTGAAGTTCTGTTAGGAAATGGAAAGTGCACCTCATGGTTCTCAAATGCCCTGCCACGAGCCTGTAGAGACAAGTGTTTGTTGTAGGCAGAACTATTTTTATCTTCCACAGTGCCCTGCTCAAGACCTACAGCATTCATGTTTGCATTTGGTTGCTGAAGGGATGGAAAGTTGGATGTGTTTGAGTTAAGGAAAGTGTCTGTTTTGCACCTGTGAAATCTTTCTCCTTACCACCCCATTCTTCTGAATATCTGGAGCCTTTATAAATCACTATCTCTGGAAAAGACAGTGAATTTTACTCTTTTGTGATTTGTAGTGTTCATGCTTATTTCTCAGGCTCTCCTAACTGTGGTGTGAATTATTCCCAATCAGATGTAGATTTTTTGGGGGGGAAGTAGAAAATTATATGATAGTTTTCAATTTTATTAATGTTTGCCCTACTGTTTTAAAGTTGGACTGTTTTCTTTCACACTTGCCATTCTTATTGCCACTTTTTCTAGCAATTCATAATTTTTCACACTAGATCCAATGCCAGTTTTTATTCATAGTTTGTTTTCTCTCTTTTTGGGTCTCTTATTTCTACTTCCTGTCCACATCACTGAGATCTCAACTGTGATTTCATTCCCCTGTTTGTCTTATTTTGCTCTAGACTGATTTTTCCAAGCATGTTTTTCTCTGATTTATTTTTACAAACTTCCCTCATTACTCAAATGTATCCAGCCCAGGAAAAACTAATTTTTCATCCTGTCCATCTACTCCAGATGCACCTGCAGGCTCAGCAGCTGGATGCACTTCTCAGCACAGCCATGTCTTCTGCTCCCTCCCACTGTGCTTGGACTCTTCAGAATATTTCTAGTCATGTTTATCGTCCCTATACCTTAAAAAAGGGAAAATCTTTCATTTAAAGATGTCTAAGAAACAGCTGCTAGCTACGTGGTGATCCTCTCTGATGGCTTTTCAGAGACATTAGCAGACAGAGAGAACAGGGGAGTTTCTTGGTTTGGCTCTGGGCATGGGGTGTATAAAGACAGGATGATACATCTTTACTTCTGTTGTGTAGCTTCAGTTCAGCTCAGTGGAGTAATTGGGAACAGACTTGTCAGTAGTCCAGTGTGAGCATCAATATGTACAGACTACATCTGGATGAAAATTTAATTGACAACATTGATAATGTGGTATATGTGGAACACTTCATATTCTCCATAAATAAATATATTCATTGTATATAAATTCACATACGTTAATGAAGCTTGATGTGAATTCAGCTGGATCCTACAGCTTTACTTGACAGTTCTCCACACGTTCTTGCATTATGCAGTGCAAGCATCAAATATTGTGGCACTGATTAAGAAGCAATCACTACTTGTTACGTGCTTAGAAATTTCCAGCACTGTTGATCTTATTCAGATGGAGCAAACTGCTGGGTGTCATGGCTGATGTTGAGTTCTGTACCATGAATTACCTGAATTAGGGGGTTGTGGGGTACAAAGGACACTTACTTTTACTTTAAAACTCTTCCTTTTTAGGGGGACTGGTATAATTTATTGTGACTGATTACTACAAAATAATCTGAGAATATCTTTGAGGTTAGAAATGTATGCTGGGTTTGTTGTTTGGTGTTTTGCCATGTATTGTTTTTTTCCCTTCTCTCAAAGTTTGTGTAATTATTTTTTTGTGATGTGTGCCTAGTAAATCCATGATTATGAAGGGCTACTTTAGAATAGTGTTGTCTTACCACTAATTGAAAGGCTGCACTGCCCTCCCATAGATTTCTGGTTCCCGAGGGTGAAAAAGTCTGCCTCTCCCCTTTCCCAGCACTTCACCTTAAGGATAATGAGATTTTTCCATGTGCTTTCCCTTCACTTTGCAGAGTATCAATTCTGTAGCATCAGTGGTTGCCCAGGCATCCTTCTGCAGTCAGTGTGCTTTCCTGCAATTTTGTGCATCTACCTTCTGAAAAGCTTCACAACACAAACCTTATACCAATTCCTCAGGTCACAGGTCTTCCTTCTATAAAGAAACAAAATAAAAATTGAGACAAAAATCACATTTTTAAAAAAAAGTTTGTGCTTTCATGCAATTCTTTGCATGAGCTTTCACAATTTAGTCTGCTATTGCTGTAGCTATCTGGGTTGTATCCATTATACATATTCCTTGGCATACACGAGTGGGCTTTTTTCCCCACCTTGCCAGATTTGGTAATCCAAGGGGGCCTTTTGGGTCCTTTAGTTATCTGGTCAGATATTTTGAGCCTATGGAGTGCCTTTCTTCCTTATCTTGGCGCTCTAAGTAGCAATTGAATATGTGTGTACACACAATAATATTTACTCTTTGTTGCTTTTGTGGGTTGATTTTTATTTAAACTTTGTCTAAGTAAATAAACATTGATGTGGCTTAAAGAACCATTAATATGTGATGAATTGCAAAGGCACCTGTTTCATGGAAGTCATAGTTTTTCTAGACAATCATCATTAAATGCATTAAAGTAATATATTTGTAGAAAAGAGGTTTGTAGATAAAGGTGAAAAGAACACTGCTCAGCAGTGATTATTAATTATGAATAATTTAATTCTTCTAGTAAGATTGAAATATTTCTGCTGTCAAAGTCCTGAGTATTTTATGGGAGTCTTCCTAAGTCT